TGAGACTACTGAAATACTGGAATACATGATGTATAGTTCCTTATAGAGAAAAGCATTATAAAACATTATTTGCTTTATCATTTTCTAATTGATATAATTCAACTGCACATTTTTAGGAAAATACATATATTGTTAATGTTCCTTGATTTGGTAGAAATACCTTTAGCATCTTTGAAAACTACAGAGGTTTGATTTAAATTGTTTGGTTTATGAGGAAGTTGAGCATTATCCACAATATACAAAGTCGTTATTGTCCCTGTCTGGTTTTATGCAGACACAGTTCTTCTTACACTGCAGAAATGATACATTGTTTTTGTCTCTTTGTTTAGTTTGAAATCAGTAGCTCATACCCAGCTTCTCTTTCTGAGGACAGCCATTGAAGCTTGCTGTACCAGTCTTCATATTGTTCAAATCTTAATGCTGTTTAAAGACCTGGGCTATATCCTACCATCCCAATAGCGTATGTGTACATATGTGTTCCTGTCTTTTCGTGGTAGGACAATGCTTGAGATATTAATGATAAATATCTTGCACTCTGATTTCTTTATTTTAACTGAGCAGAGAGAATGAATCTACTTGAACACAAACTGATTTCATAACATCCATTATTTTGTTGCATCTGCTTAAGAATACCTGTAAAGGAATAATTAGAAAAAAAAAGGGACACATAAAATCCACACAGGGGAAGAAGCTTGCTTTCAGAAGAAAACAAAACAAAAATAAATAAAATACTATAGCCCCCAACTTTTAAAACTGTGTATCCTATTCAATTTTCATTTATCTACTCCCAAAACATTTAGTTGAACCTCTAGAAGAACAACAGAACTACTTTTTCAGCATTCTGGATATTTCTTCTTCTCACTCTGTTACGAAGATAGTTCCTTTTTCTCAACGACTGGCAAAGGCACTTTTGGCAGACATGTCTGTCTGCAGGAGCTGGAAGCAGGCTTTTATGGCTTTTAGTCCAACTCCTTCATTTTTTTTTCGCATTACTTTTAGGAGCTTCTGATGATTAAGGACTGTTGTTTACTGAGCTAGCATGTATGATGCCTTGGGTTTCCAGGGTTTAAAATACCATGTTTTTATAAAACTTGGAATCAAACTTGTAATTTCCTTTTAGCTTTCAACTCTTATTCACCATTCTCATCAAAACTGTCATCTTGGAGCCTGGATACCATAATAATGAACCATTTCATATGGGAGTTTTGGGTGAGCTAGTACACTGTTGAAACTCTTTGGTGCTGTAGTGCATCTTTTCTTCTGGCTGTCATCCTTCTCCAAGCCTGAAGGAAATGCAAGTGGTCAGGATTGCAGTCCTGTTTTCCTTACAGCACTACTGGCCAAGACAGCTTGTTTGCGTGGGGATTTTTTTCAGCTGACATCCACCATCTGGTTTCCACTGTCATCCTGCAGTCTTTGAAAATTCTAGTAAATGCAATGAATGGGTCTAGATACCACTCTGAATAAAAGGCACACCTCAAAGGACATCCGGAGTTGGTTCCAGGTCACCACTGCTGTTCTTTTGTTCTACTGCCTGGTTTCAAAGGACAGCCCTGTTGTTAGGACTTCTCTTTTATATTCACAGTGTGGCTTATACCTTTGCTTTGGTGAGGCATGGTACATTTTTCCATGCTGTTTCAAGAGAACTCTTCACATCTTCACGCTGCCGATGCTGGGCATCACTTTTTTCTCATTGCACGTGGTCTCCTCATGAGTCAGAAAGATGTGACTGCTCATGTTCATCCAGGATCTTGGATATTTTGTTTTAAAACTGGGGAAGGACAGCTCAGAGGGCTCTCCAAAGGCTCTTGTGGCCCTGCCAGAAGAAGATGGCCTTCTGTACTTTGTTGATGCGGCACTATCAGTCACAATTACGAAAATTATGCATGTTTTATAAAGCAGAAAAATAATTCAGGTTTTGTCTTTTGAATTGGGGCCAAACATTCAAAAGATGTCTAGCAGCACTATATTTTAATGAGAATGGGTGTGCATGCTTTTCTTCATCTGGAATATTGACTTGTTGGAGATGGCATTTTGGAAGAGATCCAGAAATCATATTCTTGCAATTCAGTCTGTTGCTGGTGATAGGTTTGTCCCAGAATGCAGTTGTAAATATTGTATTAGCTGCTGTCCAATTCAGGACTCTTTAGACCGTTTCCTACCGTGTCTTTCTATCAGGCAGGTTTTACAGAAGCTTGGGGGTATTTGTGTTTTCTTTTTCTGCCAAAGTCAGGCTGCTCATTGGCTCTTCAACTCCCTGACTTCTCAAGTCTGGATTCAGAAATAACACATTTTCTTCCCTGTGCTCAGAATCCATCAAGATTCTTTTTTATTTTTTTTTTCTTCAGTAGCAGTTAATAGCCTAATTAATCTGGGGAAAGAGCAAGCGTTGAATGCACTCTAGATGTCTCAGGTTAGATCTCCAGAAGTGGTGTTTGATGGGGGTTAGAAGATAGAGCAGTGTTTGACAAAAACATGGCAAGAATTTTACAAGTTTGAGATTTCCTTCACACCACATACTCTTCCATGTAGTCATTTACCTGAGTGGAAAGGAAAATAGGATTATAAATAAATAAGAAACAGAGATTAGGTCCACTGGAAAATACCAAAATTAGATTTTATATCCATGAGAGCTCTATATATAGAATAGTTTCCTCATCCCTGAATTAAAAATCTATCCATGTGCTGCTTAACACATTGAATGTGATTTCTGCTGGTGAGGGAAGCCTTTCCTAGCCACCAAGGAAATAGCTTGTATATCTGTCTTCCCCCTATTGCAGGAGTAAAGAGTTTCCAAAAATATACTGCCTTGAATGAACTTATGGCTTATAAAGTCCAATATCTCAGACTTTTTCTGCTAAGTTGATGGCAGCCTATTTTTATCCATGTGACAGTAAGTTTTTATGTGGAAGGCCATTTACAAGAGAGGAATAGCCATCTAAAGATACCAAGTAAGGTATTACGTAGTCTGTCTTAAACTAGGTGACAACTAGAGAGACTAACCTTAAGTGTGTCTTACAGTGCAGTGACAGAGTTATGGTTCAGTGAGCAATTCTTACCAACATCATTCAAGAAGTACTAGGTATTTTTAACTATGGTAGGCATCCATCTTGTATCATTTGAGTGGTACAGCTGATTCTTCTGCTAAAACCATGTAGGAATGAGTTTGTACTGGTGTTTCTTCAATCTGTAGTTTGCTCTTTGGGACTTTTCATAATTTTTTTTTTCTGTGAGCAGAAAGGTTTTTGACCCACTGCCTTGCTCTCTTCTACCAACAGTGCCCAATAGTTAATGTGTATCGCTGTGGGTTCTGTAACATACTGATACTTTACAAGCCTGACTTGGTTGCCTACAGCTTGATGTGTAAACATGCGCTTGAGAGAATCTTTCTATTTTTCTGTTATGTTCCATTTTGGAGACATTTCCAGAGGCTTCTTGCTGAAGGTGACCAGCAGTTCAGGTATGCTGGCAGAAAACAAACTCACTTGCCATAGCTGTGGTTTTCATTCACCTGCATCCAGAGGTTTGCCATTACTTATCTTCAACTCAGTCTTGAGTAATTTCTGGGCAACTCGTTGCAGGGCGGTTGGACTAGATGGCCTTTGAAGGTCCCTTTCAACCCAAACTAGTCTATGATTCTATATACCTTTTTGAGTTGTCATAACATTAAAGTATTTGAAAAATGGTATTTTAAATTGTAAGTGATGTAGAGATTTGATTCTCTTCTTACCAGTTAACAGTGTAGTTAATATCACTTTCCAAATAGTATTTGTTTAGAAATATGATAATTGATGCTTTCTGATAATCAGTACCTTCTCATCTCTGTCATATGAGCTATATTTGCAGGGCAGTTGAGAATGGAAAATTATTTTATTGTGTCAAAACCATAGTTAAATACATTTATAATTACGTAGGTTTTTAGGTATGTGTTATATAATTTTAATATTCAAATGTTCTCTTATGAATTTCAATAAATAAAGTAGAAAGGTGTAGTTCAAGGCAATCACCCTTGCTTTAATTCTCCTAGTCTCCTCTCACATGTTTTTTATGTATGACCACCGTCAATTCAAGACTCTTGCCTTAAGTAAAAGACACAGAATAATTTATTTTACATTTCAACTTTGGTAAAGGGATATAAAGATACCCAAATCAACTTTATTATTCTCTCACTCCTTTCTGTGCAACCCCCTCATAATAAATTTATCCAGCTGGTCTTTCTTTTCATGCCAAGTGATGGATATGACTAGACCACTCCAATTTACATTTTCTTCTTCATAAATTGTTGGGTAGTGGGGGGTGTTGAATGTGTTGACCATAATGTATTTCTCTCTTGAAATTTTATCATGGGCATCATTATGACATGTAATCAGCATCATTGTATTTTTTTCTTCAGGAGTCCAAAATAATGCTTTAAATAATAATTCTTCAAAACACCATTAATGGAATAGTGCTGGAAATAGAAGAACGTATGGTTCACATCTACATTTAGATCATAGAATTATAGAATAATAGAATGGTTTGGGTTGGAGGGATCCTTAAAGATCATCTAGGTCCAACCACCCTGCCATGAGCAAGGAATCATGTACTCACAGACTTTCACCCAGCATCATTCCTGTCTCCCATTTAGCCTTTTTCCTAGTAGTTAATTTCATACTGGTACACAGCTAGCTATAACAAGTTATGGTTGCTTTTAGGTTTGTGCTAATCAAAATATGTGAAGAATTAATTCCTGTTATATCACACTCAAAGAAATTTAAGGGAAGTACAAGTATATGGTTAGTTTCCAATGAGATGTGGCACAGCATGTAGTATCTGAAGTAGCTGATGGCAGATTAATTCATATTTTGAAACTACTAAAGTCTGGATGCTGCATACATTTTCTTTCCTCTGCATGGGTATCAAATGTTAATTTCTGGATTAATCTAGTTACTTTAAAACCTTGATGATTGTCTCCCAGCAGGCAGTGTGCTATTAATAGTTCTGTTCTTTTGTGTTTGCAGGGGGTTCAGGACCGTCATCATCAATAGCCATAGCTGGCACCAGCCAACCTGCCATCACAAAGACAACATCTGTGCTTCAGGATGGTGTTATAGTCACTACTGCAGCTGGAAATCCACTTCAGAGCCAGTTGCCCATTGGGAGCGATTTCCCTTTTGCTGGCCACGAACACTCACTTCATTTTCCGCAGAACAGCTCTTCAAACAACAATCTTCCACATTCTTTGAATCAAAACCTCCTCAATTCTCTGCCTATCTCTTTGCCAGTGAATCAGCAACATCTCCTAAACCAGAATCTATTAAATATACTTCAAGCAAGTCCGAGGTCACCCTCAACCCTTTAGGTTTTCTCAACCCAAATGTAAATGCTGCTTTAGCTTTTCTCTCCAGTGATGTGGATGGGCAGGTATTACAACCTGTTCATTTTCAGCTTCTAGCAACCCTCCTTCAGAACCAAGCCCAAGCAGCTGCCATGCTTCCCCTACCATCTTTCAATTTGACCATCTCAGATTTGTTGCAACAGCAAAATAACCCTTTACCCTCAGTAACACAGATGACAGCCCCACCTGACCATTTGCCAAGCAATCAGTCAGAAAGCAACAGGGTGGAGACCCTTTTAACCAACCCCCTGGGCAACCCCATACCAAGCTTTTCAGGCACTGACACTACTTCTAACCCCCTGCTCCTCCCAGCTGTCTCTGGGGCCTCAGCGCTAATGGCCTTGAATCCCCAGCTGGTGGGAGGTGTCCTGAACTCTGCATCGGGCAACACTGCTAATCATCCAGAGGTTTCCATAGCCACCTCCTCCCAGGCAACCACTACCACAACCACTACATCATCAGCAGTGGCAGCACTGTCTGTCTCAACCCTGGGTGGTGGGACAGCAGTGGTGTCAATGGCAGAAACATTGCTGAACATATCTAATAATGCTGGGAATACATCTGGTCCAGCTAAACTCAACAATAACTCTGTGGTGCCACAGCTACTTAACCCTCTACTGGGGACAGGTCTGCTTGGTAAGTTCAATTTTTTCACAGATATAAAAGGAAAAAAAAAAAAGAGGGTTGGGGAGGGGGAATTTTGGATTCTAGTTTCTATTTTTAAAGCCTCCACTTTATCATACTTCTTTTTTTAAGGTTTTTGTATGTTACAGCTTGTTTATTTCTATGGAGAGAAATGTAAGAAATTTAAAATACATTCTGATTTAATTAAGTAAATTTTAATACTGGTTTTGGAAATTATTTTATATTCCATTCTTAATTCTGATGCCACCTAGACCTTAAAATTCTGCAAGCAATTGGACTTGCTTCATTTTTCAAGTAGTAAAAGCACAGGTGCATCTCTGGGATGCAGTGTTTCATTTCAAGTGCATGTGGCATCACAGGGTTAGTACGAGTAGCTGTGCAGTAGATGAAAAATGGCCAAGTGCTTTCCTCCAAATGAATCAAAAGTGCCAAAACCACAAGCACGCTCCCTTGCAAAGTAATCCTTAAAGCACTTGAAGTAGGTCCTCACGCAAGTTCAAAGAGGAATGTTGCCCTTCAAGCCCTTTATTGTGTGTTTAGATTTTCTCATTTCTGGGTGGTTTTTTTCGCTTTAGCTTGTACTTTAAAAACCCAGGGTATCTTACTTGAAACACACCTGCGTCCCAACACAAGTGATTAGAAAGCCCTTAAATACAATTTTTTTTCTTCTGGATCTTGATTTTACCAAGAATATGTAATATAGTTAGTACTCCTCTGTTGTTTGGTGTATGCTATTTAATAAATAGACGAGTAGAAGGAATTAAATAGTGGCAAAGAGCTGATGAGTATTTTAACTTAATACCTCATACTTACCTACTAAATGGCTATCATGAACTCAACCCTGCTTTACATTTTCCATTTGACTAACCAATGATGCTACAAATGGAACTTTTAAGAAAAACAAGCACTTTTAATTAAAAAAAAAAAGAAAAAATTAATAAATTGATATATTTTTAAGTTTTATTTCATAAGGTCAGGTTTAACAGGATATTTATTTAACTAGAATCTTCATATAAAGTGAGATTTTTAATTTATTTTTTTCTCTCTCTCTCTCTTCCCCTGCCCCAGTACTGTTTGAGGCAGTCACTCTTTGGAAACCAAGAGTAAGAGTTCAAGACAGCAAATGTCATAGAAGCTTGTTCTGCCATACTTGGCTGTGTGCTATTCCAAAGGCAAAGACAGTCATGTCAAAAACCTTTAGAAAGAGTCCAGATAGATGTGACATGCAAAAGAAGCAATTCTGAAGAAAAAAAGGAATAAAGAGTAGGAGACACATGCCTTGAGGACCATTCCATAGAAGATTGAGAGTGTTGTTTTACAGAATCATTTGTTTAGCTGTCAGTTAAAATTTGAGTCAAGGAAATTCCTCCTGACTATTGAAAACTGTACTGACTTAACGTTTCCCTGTGTTTGAATTACAGGTGACATGTCATCTATAAACACTACTTTGAATAACCATCAGCTGAGTCATCTTCAGTCACTATTAAACAACAATCAGATGTTTCCTTCAAATCAGCAGCAACAGCACCTTCTCCAGGGGTATCAGAACATGCAGGGCTTTCAAGGCCAGCCCCCAGTTCCTGGTCCAGCTAACAACCCAAACCCCATGGCATGTCTGTTCCAAAACTTCCAGGTAGAAAGCAAAATTAAATCAATTTTCAAACAAATGTGCAACTCTCAGTAGGTGAAACTATATGCTCCATAGTTAGATTTTTATTTTTTGCTGAGTGTTTAAGACACTATGATATATACAGTTGCTTGCCTTCTCTGTAGTTTTTGGATTTTACAAATCGGGAACATTTGTTACTGAAATTTTATTCCTCCTTCCTTAGAAATTGGATATAGTTTCTTTGGAAAGAGTTATGCTGCATGTATTGAAAAAAAAATATGCTATGTATGTTCTTGCCAATTAGTATGTATTTTTAGCAAAACTATTTTCCATTCTGAAGAAATTATTATAATGCCTGTTTAGGTCACTCTAACAATTCAGTGGTGACAAATAAATATTGATACCATTTTAAAGTAATTAGAAACTTCATAAATTATTATAGGTGTGTACCAGTCCTCTTATATTCCCACTGAATGGGGAAGAGTTAGCTGTAATGTGGACTGTATAGACTGAAGAAAACAGGCGTTAGAATGAATGTGCAATGACAAACTCTGCAGAAATGTTACCTGCCTGCTATTTACCTAAATACACAGTTCTTCATAATGCAAGTTGAACTATCAAACCAGCATACTGACAGGAACATAGCAACCAAAATAGCTGATAAAACCAGAGTTAAAATACGTATTTATTATTGTTCAATATGTTTGTGGTTGCTGCAGAACTCAAAAACCTGAAGTCAGAAGCATGTAGATAGTCCCAGACAGTGCTTTTACCCTTTAAGAAGGAAAAAAAGAAGACATGTTGTTTTCTCAGTGTAGATATTTCACTGCTATTGCAAAAGCACAATCCTCTAGCTGCCTATTAATTCTCTCTGGTTTTGTATGAATTTTGGCTTTGTCTCAGTATATTTGCTTCAGATTCTCAGTGATATAAATAGTATTTAAAGGGGCTTTTGGAAGTATTTTACCCTTGTTTTGTACATTTTTGTTATAGTGCTATTATTGTCGTTGTCTTCACTGCCTACGTATGTGACAAGAAATATAAAAAGCAGTTACTTTAATCTCAAGGTTACAATTTACAGTGGCAGTGCCTGACATCACAGCTGCAATGTAAAGGGGTGCAGGCACGGTTTACAAGGGACTGAAGTAATAAGAGATCCCACGAGAGAAGCACATAACCGAAAGGGAAAAAACAGAAATATTAGCCAATTCTAAAAGTACAGTGATGGCCTATGTTTCAGGGATTGAATGAGGAGCATACAAGGAGCCTGGAAGAGCAGTTGGTATGGAGGAAAGAAGTAAAATTAAGGTGTGGGAAGGAATGAAAGAGAATAGTTGAGAACAGAAATATCGACCTTTGTGGAGATGTTAAGGACTTGAGAGAAAGCAGGGTGCTGTACTTCAATCAGAAGAGAAAATCCCTGAAAAGACTGAAAGAGAGGATAATGCAGTCTTAGCAGCGGATGGTAGGTTGTATCATTTTGTGCAAGGCATCTATTTTGATCCAGGAGGCAAATTCTAAGAGCCAGGTTTTTTGTTTTCTTCTAAATTAAGCTTTTGTTTGTTTTCTGTCCATCTTGTTCAGTAAGAACTTCGAAACTGATGCATAACTAAAATAAAATTATGTTCTGTAACAAACAGTCACCCTGACCACCATCCTCATTTGTTTATCAAAATGAAACCAAGTTGTACTGTTGAAATGTAGCTTTAGGCAGAATAGCAATTTCTGTGGTTTTCTCTACTTTTTCCAGGTGAGAATGCAGGAAGATGCTGCTGTCCTGAACAAAAGAATGATCAGTCAAATGGGAATAGCACCAGTTCCTGACAGCTCCAACACTATGCTTCCTCCTTTCCAAGAAACATCTTGTGATTTGCAGCAAAGAACTGAACCATCTCTTGGACAACAAGCGAAAGATAACCTCAATGTTGCTGCTCAGGGTGATACATCGGTGGATGCAATCTACAAAGCAGTTGTAGATGCTGCAAGCAAAGGGATGCAAGTAGTAATCACCACTGCTGTTAGCAGTACAACACAGATGAGTCCCATTCCAGCTTTGAGTGCCATGAGTGCCTTCACAGCCTCAATTGGTGACCCGTTAAATCTTTCTAGTGCTGTCAGTGCAGTAATCCATGGAAGAAACATTGCCGTTTCTGATCATGAAGGTAGGATAAGGAGCACTAGAGGAACACGAATACTGAAGAATTCAGAGCATGGTAAAAATTCAAGTGAAGGGGATGGGTATGAATATTACAAATCATCAAGTTGTAACACACCCAAAAAACAGTGGGAAGGGGAGCAAAGTCCTGTCAGTGAGGTAAATAGGTGGAAATGTGATGAGTTTCTAGACCACTCTACCCATATCCATAGTAGTCCTTGTCACGAAAGGCCCAATAACATCTCCGCACTTCCGTTATTGCAAGGCGAGCAGCATCAGATACTGTTATCACAGCGAAACTGTCAAAGTGATAAAATGTTGGAGGAGAATTTCAGGTATAACAATTACAAAAGAACTATGATGAGTTTTAAGGAAAGACTGGAGAACACTGTGGAACGATGTGCACACATAAACGGAAATAGGCCTCAGCAGAACAGAGGATTTGGGGAGTTGCTGAACACTTCTAAACAAGATCTGATTCTGGAAGAGCAATCTCCAAGTTCCTCAAATAGCTTGGAAAGTTCGTTAGTTAAAGACTATATCCATTACAATGGAGATTTTAATGCCAAAAGCATTAATGGGTGTGTGCCTAGCCCTTCAGATGCTAAAAGCATCAGTAGTGAAGATGACCTAAGGAACCCAGATTCCCCTTCTTCAAATGAGCTGATACATTACAGGCCGAGGACGTTTAATGTTGGCGACTTGGTCTGGGGCCAAATCAAAGGACTGACTTCATGGCCTGGAAAGCTAGTAAGAGAAGAAGAGGTTCACAATTCATGTCAACAAAACGCTGAGGAGGGGAAGGTATATTTATATATATATGCACATATTTATCTTTCTATATACACATGTAGATATGCCCATACAAATGTTTATCAAAACTATCTGGGGCCATTCTTTATTCTTTGTCTCTTATTTTAGTAGTACATTTTGATTTTTTTCCGTAACTCTAGCTTGCAGAACTGAATTTTTCCCTTAGTTATCTAATGAGAAACTTCCACCAATGCCATGAATCAGACTATTTTAGCTTGATTATGGTAATTTACACAAAAAAGATTTGGTACATAAAAATGTTAACAAAAAATTGTTTGACTTACATGGTGTACTTAGTCAAACTTCTGGCTGTGTCCAGTGAAGCTGATATGGAAATGTCTAAAAGCATTGAAAACTGCAAAAAGGAAAAGTGATCTAATCAGATTGAAGAGTCTGTAATAAGCAAGAGCTTACTGATTGACACATACGCTCTTTAAGAGGAAATGCATGTGTATTTTCACCTTGAAAGGAGGTTTTGACCATCTTTTAATAGTAAGGAAAGCATTCCATTTTGCTCGTTCGTACTGAAATGTGTTGGGTTTTTGTTTTTTGTTTTTTATTTGGTAGGCAAATCATATGCTTGTTGGGGAATGTACCAAAACTACAGTTATCAAGGAGGTATTGGTTATTACGATAAGCATTTCAAATTCTGGTCTCTACTACTTGTAAAACATATTTTTGTAGTTATTAGAAATATTTCTATATAGAAGATGTGAAATATTTTATAAGTGTCGCTTTATAAAATGTAAATTTTAAAAACATGTAAGCAGAAGGGAGAGATCTAATGAAATAGCTTTCTACCTCCTACACAAAGAAATAAGCCATATATGTCTTTTTTCCCCATACGCCTGCCTAGTACATTGCACGATAACCGTCATAAGAATGGTGATAGTGATAGGAATGGTGATAGGAATACCAAAGTATTCCTACCCAAAATCTGGCCAACAGTAGATACCCGGAGGAAAGAGAATGGAAGAAGATGTTGGGAAGTGCTTCTTTATCAGCAGTCTCTGACTCCCACCAGTGCATAGCTCAGGAACTCCTTGGGCTGGAACTAGTGTATCTTTGTTGTAACCACTGCTGATCTTACTGCAGTTCACAGTTGTTGATGATAGGCTGGTGTGCAGATGTAATTTCCCCAAATAGTCCAACAGGTCTTTGATGAATTTGGTACTATAAATAAGTAGGGGGATGTTTCGCCAGTATGGTTTCAACTCTCATTCAAGAGAATTTTAGTCTCTCTTTACAGGTAGTTTCTCTGTTGATATAACCATAAAGGTTTCAAAGAGCTCCAGCCTGACTACACTGAACAAAAGTATTTATGGAGAATTCAACATACCTTACTAGCAGTATTTGAATGCTTAAGAGCTCATTCCTTTACAAAAAAGTCAGTTTATAAAGTACAGGCAAGTGACACAGACCACAAAATATAAAGGATTAAACAAAACTGGAAAAAGTAGGAGGTATACAACATCACCATCCCTTATGAATTACAGAAACAGTGATTACACTGCACATATGTTCCAAGTATGCATTTATGTATTAACTTCACAAAATTGTGTACCCATATGTGTATGACTGTTCTGATATATTTGAAAAGCTTATTTTTTGTAAAGAGGTGGATTTTTTTTTCATTTGCGTTCCTTGACAGTTTTCTAAGTTTATTCCTGAATTTGTGGATACCAGAATGTAGAGTTGCTTTTGAGCAAACCCACCTTCTTTAATTTTCTGTCTCCTATAAGCATTGTGTAACACTATATTCCATGGCACAGATTTTATTGTATACTGAAGCACAAACAACAGGAAAGCAAACTGGAAATGCATACATTGCTGCTCATGGAATACTGCGAAGTACTTGTGGAGACAGCGAGAGAGACTGTTTCAAGTTCTTCATCTGGAAGTCCCATGTAATGAATCGCCTCTTGCTTCAGAAGGCCTTTAGTTTAATGATAATAATTTTAAATTGGAAAAAAAAAAAAAAGAAAGTTGATTTTTCTCCAAGAAGTGCAGAGTGAATGATCATTCCGAAAGTCAGGAGTTGAGGTTGAAAGATGGGATACAGGGATTAATATGAAAGAGGTGAAAATGTGTATATGCTGTATAATAGTTCTGTTTGTAGTTGAAAATAGGCAGGAATTCCCATGCACATTGGCAGTCTATACATATGTTCAAACACTCTCATAATGTGTTGTACAGCTGCATTCTTCAGATGTTTGGGCAGCCTGGTCTAAAGGAAAGAAAAAGAATGTGGGGGGAAGGATATCACACCAAACAAAAAAAATTAACCTTGAAAACCAGAAAAAAAAATAACCTGGAAAACCAAATGGTCATCAGAAATTCTGTGCTTCAAAAAGTCCTGTAAGGTTACAATTCATGATGGGAGTCACTATCAGCAGTTCTGAAAATGCTATTTTCTGTGGAGCTTTCTTAAAACATCTTTCAAAGTATTTGTATAATCATATGTTAACCTCCTATATTGTAACATCCGTTTGGCTATGCTGTTGGGATTTCATGGTACTCTGTATATTCTCTGTACTTTATATCATACATAATTTGATTTTTGTTTCCATTTAAAAGACTTTGGGTATTAAATGTAGTAACGCTTCTGTTTGAAGGGCAGCTAGAATGGTGTTTCCCACACAGGAGAAGGGAGGAATATTGCACCTTTGTTTCCTAATGAACACTTGTTTTTCGGCTATTTGAAAATTAAAGAGGAACCCAAAAGAACTGCAGTGGTAGCAGCACAAATTTGGAAAAGGAAGGGAGCAAGCCTGAAACTACACACACATCCTAAAATGGAGGATTTGTATTTCATTAAGTAATTAGATTATTGACCAAATCAAATCACCTAGACCAGAACAAAGTTCTGAGAGCAACAATGTGAAAGTCAGAGGGTTTGTATGAGCAGTAGTTTCCAGTTAGTGTATTTCATAGTAGTTCTTACAGGGCTAGTATTGTTCTCAATATGACTTCCCATCAGTTAAACTAGTTTTTTTAAGCTGAACTTTTATAGTTTTACAGATAATAATAGGTGTGATTTATCAGTGTCCTGAAAATCCCATTTGTATGTATTACTTATTATTGTAATGGCTTATTGTATTGCTAGTTCAAATATGTCTGTTATACTTGCTTCCAATACCATGTTATGTTAGCAATTTGATACTACTACTTTTGAAAAGAGCTAGCAGGTGTTATAATGCTCTACTGTTACAGACTTCCAGTGATGAAGATACTGATTCTTTGTTGTTACTTGAGTCCCTTGTTACCCAAACATGGCATTAGCTCTTCAGAAAAATATTTACCGTTGAACTTTTTCATATATCTAATGGCAGGTGTATACAATGCTTCGCAAAGCTTGCTTCTTATGTAAACATATATATTATGGGTATGGATAATGTCCAATTTAGCATTCATGACAACTCAGTCATGTAGTAAAGTGTCCAAGGTAAAGGATCACGATTATTATGTTATTTTTATAGAATCATAGAATGGTTTGGATTGGAAGCATCCTTAAAGCTTGTCTAGTTCCAACGCCCTGCCACAGGCAGGGACACCTTCCACTAGACCAGGTTGCTCCAATCCCCTGTGTCCAACCTGGCCTTTAATGCTACCAGGGATGGGGCAGCCACAGCTTCTCTGGGCATCCTGTGCCAGTGCTTCATCACCCTCATGATAAAGAACTTCTTCCTAATATCTAATCTAAATCCCCCTACTGACAAGTTAAAGCCATCCCATCTCCCCTTGTCCTGTCTCTACATGTTCTTGTAAAAAGCCCCTCTCCAGCTCTCTTGTCAGCCCCTTCAGGTACTAGAAGCTGTTCTAGAGTCTCCCCGAAGCCTTTTCTTCTCCAGACTGAACAAGCCCAACCCTGTCAGAATTCTCCTTTAATTCTGTTCACTTTGAAAAATCAAAGTTTATCCTTTAGCTGTCTCTCAAACATGCTGTAGAATGGAAGGCTTGAGCTGTGGTGTATCAGAGACAGAGTAACATTGCCTCCACTAATACAGTTTTAATGTAGGAGATGTAACACATAAGCTTCTGAAGGCGGTTTGCTCATCCTGTAAGTGTTGTGTGCTGTTTCTTCTCCTGTTATCCTTATAAAAGCTCCCCAGGTTTTAAACAGTATTTCTTTTGTATGCATTTGTATTTTTCCAAAGTCTGATTAGGTGAGGAAGTATTTCAAGTATGTGCAGTCTTGCATTAAAAGTAAACACAACTTTAAGGGAAAAGAGTTACAATCTGCAGCATAATTGAATCTATTTCATGAAAATAGAGATCTTGCCTCCCCATGTGCCAATCTCGCCATTAATGACATTCATTTTGTAAGTTCCTGGAACAGCAGTATTCCCCAATTTCATTATCAGATGCATAAGTTCAGACATGCAAAATTTGGTCTAAACAAGTATTATATTTGCCTTATTTCTAGAGATTTTGACAACTTGCTTACTGATTAACTTCACATTGTCACGTCTAAAATATCTGTTTCATTGTGAATATAAATTATTTAATAATAGAAAGTCTGGGTTTAGAGGGAATTTGCATTTAAGTTTCTCTTTTCTGATTGTATATAGGCATGCTTAATAAATTTGTATTTATAGAATTAATTTTCCTTGTGTCAAAATATAAGCTGTGCTTTATAATGAAACAAATGCTATATAAAGTTCTGGTTTAAGTTATGTAAAGATTAAAAAATAAGTCAAGCAAAATGTGGCAATACTGACAAAGAAAAAGGAATTCATCCGTTCATTTTCTTTACATTGATGTGTTTTAAATACCTTTTTTTGTTTTTATAAGCAGAAACGACTGATCCAAATCAAAATAAAATGCAGAGTTAAGTGGACTTAACATTTTGAGAACACAAATGATAAAATCATATAGATGATATAATTTGTTTTCTTCTTGCTTGTGTTTACACTGGTACTAACTGGTACCTATGTAGTGGTGCCAGTAATTATATGCAGCAGTTTATATACGGATTGCTTAAAAGGTTATCATTCTGGTTAATGTCAAGGGATCTGAAACTCCCAGTTAGAGCTTTAAATACTAGCTCAGCAGCCCTGTTGAGCACGTGCCTGTATTCATTCCTGACTCAGCAGATTGCTAAAGTATGTGCTGCTTAAGTGAAAAAAAAAATATAGAAGACCTTTTTCAGGACCAGTGAGTCAGCTGGATAAAGCAAGCTCCAGTTAAGACTCACAGATTCATACTGCATAAATAAAGTTTGTCACCTTGCCCACCCCTTTTTTAAGGCCTTAAGCCTTTTAACTTAAGCAGGTAGGGTGGCTCTTCTGAAATAGGAATGAATTTGACCGTGCCATTAGTAGCATTGTTAAATGGAGGCCTTAAATACTTTATCCAGAAATATGAGGTGATGTGAAACACTTTTCTGTTGATGGCATCTATAAAAATTGTATTGTGTGCACTAGGCAGCTTGGTATGTTAATGCATTCCAGGAGGTCTCAGAAGTGTAAAATGCGTTTGTAAAATGTGAGTACAGCATTAAAAGACTTCAACAACAGTGTTCATATTAATAATATGAAGACAAACAAGGTTTTAAAAACATTATTCTCCTTAGTTTTGTTTTTATGAGTGTCATGGTTTTGGGTTTTTATTTCTATTGCTGTGGACCCCTAGAGAAATTACAATATATGCTATATGTATGAAGGGGTGTATATAGCCAGGCGTTCATTTAGTGAATGAATGTCTGGGTGTATACATGATAGGTTCATGTCTTATGAATGCAGTGAAAATTAGACTCCACAATAATGCATGTCTAGCAGTAAAGTAAAAGCAATGTTTAATAATTGCAGGTCTGGGTAATGTGGTTTGGTGTTCATACCTTCACTCAGGTGGAGCCAGAGAAGTTGAAGACACTAACAGAAGGTCTAGAAGCTTACAACCGAGCCAGAAAAAGGAACAGAAAGTAAGTAAATGCTCATTTATTTACTAGTGAAATTGAATAATTAAATTCTTTTGCTACGTAAGACACTCATTTTGGGGAGTTTAGTAGATTGGCAAAACTGAAGATTTCTTTTTCTGAATTCCTTCTCTGGGTTATGATAATCAACTGAGATCTTTGATACCTGCATTTTTATTGCATCTTTTGATATTTACAGTAGCCTTTGTAAAATGTCATCCTACTTGTTTGAGCTTTCATGTGTAGGATTTCTAATTTACAGCAAAAAAAGTTATTATATCAAAACTATTCTGACCAAATATGCTTTTTAACAGGATCTGCCCTTCTTAGCTCTTCCCTTTCCTTCTGACAGCTGCTGCTGCAGGTAGAGCACAGGTTTATTCAGATAAATCCAGTTTATTTCCCATTGCTGAGAAGCATTTCAGAATTTGTGAAGTCTGGTTGCATTTAACCAGACAAGGGGCTTAGTGCAGAGCTTTCCTTATACTTTGTGCCAGGCATTTATGAACTATTTGGCTTTATCTTGCCTTTTAGCTTTTATTTACAAATATAGGAGGATAGAAAGAATGTGGAAGAGTAAGTATTAGGACATGAAGCATCAGCATAGAGAAAAAGAGGAAAATGGTTTACTTCAGGAGCAAAAAAATCTGGACAGCTATGAAAGGATAGCAAAGTAGAAATTGTACTATGATTGTATTTGTTCTAGGGTGCTGCTGCTTATTTACTGTTGCAGTGAAAAAATACTACTTTGAATCTGTGAGGGTTTAAACTCAGCTTTCAGTACTTATCTTTAGCACAATAAACATAGGCTTAAAGGAATTAAATAATTATTTGTCTTCAATTCCTTTTAAGGTGTAAGCTTTTATTTTATTTAAGTGTCATGTGGTGCTTAAGAGGAGTATTTTTTACGCCCATGAGACAATGTTGGTGGTTGTTTTCTCCAAGATCATCCTTAAAATAACTTGCTGGAGTTTAAGGGTGTGTGGTGAGAACACAGAAGGGCTTTTGGCAACTCCCCAGTTATTTGCTCATGTCCCTGAAGTGAAATACGTGACTCAAGTAAGGTGACACCAGGAACAGATTTAAAGAGGTGTTGAAGTTGAAATAGACAGTACAATTTAAGAAGAACTCCCATCTTCTGATTTGCATTCATTTATTTAGCAGACTGCAAGGATTGTCTGCAATTCCACTGAATCCAATGGCCTTTTTTAGCAGCATGTCTGGTGCTGCCCCATTGCTTGCCATGTGGAAACCAGAAGTACTGAATATCCCAGCCACTCTAGGCCACATGCTTGCCCCTTCCATAGGGTTGCTTTAAAGCCCTTTCAGTTTTTTCCTCGATATTTCTAACTGTGCTTATTTCACGGTTCATAGTTTTCAGTGTTTCTTCATGGACCCTTCCTTTTTTTCCTGTGTACTTTTGTAAATGTATCTGAAAAAATTATTATTCTCTTTATGGTCTTTTTTTCTGGTATATGTCTCTCTGGTTTCTTGTTACACACAATTCCAGATGTTTTAAAACATTTAGCATTAGATATAATTGCTACGTGCAGAATACTCCTGTTTCTGTTTCCTACCTATCTAAGTATTCAGCACTTATACCTATCACGTACTGGCATCAAGTTGAATACTTCTTTACCTATAAAGACATAGGTAAAGAAACCCAGGATAAATTCATGCTGAGAGAGCATGAACTAGCATCGCACAGGTCCCATGTGTTTGGCAGAGCAGGGTTAGCATCCAAGTCCTCAAAATGACATTCAGATTCCTTAACTGTATAGATTATTATTCATATTCCTAATTTTCTTGCCTCAGCCCTAGTATATTTTTTAATTTTTAATCTTCACTGCATGGCCAATCTCCAATAATATATATTGATACTATATATTAAATATAAAATTCTTAAAACTAAATTAAAGATTAAAAATAGCTGTAAAGCTAAAAGTTGTGTTACAGTAGGGGTGTAATAGGATGGTATTCAAGTTGCACCTCAAATCCAGTATTTGTGAATTGTAAATCTTAATATAACCATAAAAACTAGTTATTAAAATGGAAGCGGTTTGTGTAGTCAGCTTTTTAGGTTTATAAACAAGACACCAGACAAAATAAGTCACTGTGGCACTTTTCACCAACATAGTCAATGTGTTAGCCTTGTTGAGCTTTATAACTTCAACTAGTAGTAGGATCTAAAGCATTTTCTGTAGCAAAAAAATGTTTTGCTTGGGGATGTCTCGGAGGAGATGAGTGAAGTGGTGAGAAGTGGTGGCTTCTTAACTGTCCTATTTATTCTGGGGGTTGTATGAAGAAGCACTCGAGTGCAAACCACTGAGCCATCCCGACCTTTTCCAGCTCCATCTTCTCTCAGCCATTCCATTCCTATTTGAGCCAGGTCCCTTCTTGCTTCCAGCAGGTCATGACGTAGCAAGCTTCCTCATCTATCCAGTTGTGGTTTCCAGAAGACTGTCTTCCCAATCTTCCCCTATCAAAGCCTTGTCTGATCCAAATTTTGTTCTTCCCAAGTTTTGTAGTTATCTGGATTCCTCTGTTCACTAGCATTCTCCTGCCACACTGCACACAAAGCATCTTCCGAGGGTTATCACCCAGTACCATGTTTCCTTCTTCTGTGGTTTCATGTTCCTCAGTGTGCTGTTTCCCTCACCAGGATTCTCTTTTATCAGGATTGTGCCCTTTGCCATCCCTACCATTACCATCTCTACCATCCATGCGAAGTTATTTCAAAATGAAGTTCGGGCAGCGGCTCAGAGTTGAAGTCACGTCTCTGATGTGACTCCTATTGGATGTGCACCATGTTCAGTCTCCATCCTGGCAGAGTCTAAGTCTCTGTATTCTCTAGGTGTTAGTCTAGTAGCAGCTTGCCCCATACTATTAAGAGTCAGGTGAGGCGGGTGCACTCGGACGTCATTATTGCTGCAGGAGAAGCCCAGAGGCAGCAACTGCAGGTGAAGTCTGGAATACGTCTACTATTGGAGGGAGCTTCAACTCCAAACATGCTCAGACTTCATTTTGATTTTACAGTTTGGTAAAACTTTAATGCATCCTAATAGGGAGGAAGAGGAGGATTAACAGAATGCTTCTGACAAAACATTTATCTTCCCTTTCCTTCTTCAAAGCTGTTGGCCATGGGAGATTTTCTAAGATATGTTGTGCTGCTTTTTAATGAGAGGAGCAAACTGTCGCTACATTTCTCAAATGTTATTTGACAAAAATTGTGATGTTTGCACGTTGGTTTGCGTCACTAGAGGCATGATGCATATGTTGATCAGATACCAAATTCTCAGATTTTAGCCGCAGTGTTTTGTCTCCGGTAAATGGGTATTTCAGTGACAAGACTTTTATGAAACTTTGATTTGCTATGGGGCAGATCATCATGTTGACAGTAAAATTAAGATAACAACAGTGTCTTAAGACCGCAGTGCAAATGATCATGTGTATTTTAAATACTTTCAAATGGCTGTTTAGACTCAGCAATAATTTTATAGATATTTTAATATGTGTGTGCTGCTAATAGAGCATAATGTTGATTAAATAACTTTACATCACACATAGGTAGTTTGACATCTGAAAACTGCTTCTAGGTGACATACAAGTCAGCAATGTTATTAGTTACCAAGATATTTGTTATTATCTGTTAAGGTATCAGTTACTAAGATACAGAGTCATATAACCTTTACAGGAACTTAAGTTGCCACTGAACAATATTGTTTGTCATTTATAATATGGAAGGGTGCCTTCACTTGCCCAGGTTGCATAACTTAAATTTTTTTTGGCAAGCAGTGTAGCCCAAGCAGTTCAAAAACCCAGGTGGGCATGTCAGGCTTTGTATGCAAATTTTTATTTCGGTTTTTCTTACTGTTTCTTTGGTTGATTTAAACTACATTACAATGTTAAACTACATTGCAATTTAAACTACATTGCAGTTTTAAAGTTGCACCATACTCAGTAAGGTTTCTAGCTTTTTTAATTCTTTTGTGCAATTGATGCCCTGGTGTAGCTCAGATAACCAATGCAAATTAGTGCTAGAGAGTATCCTCTTTGAATAATGAAAAACAGACCCTCTGATCTCCTGTACTGATGGATATGAAAATCATTTTGCTGATCCAGGGTTGTGGAATTACTGTTCAGCAGTGTTGGTCATATAGTTCATCTGTGCTACCTCCTTGTCAGTCTTTTGCCAATGCTTTTAGTTGCCATAAATCTTTTAAGTCCTAGGGAAGAATGTCCCAGCTGACATGATGAGCTTGCTTTCTTTACTAAAAGGAAAGGGTTTTTTTAGAATGTGTCTCCTTCTGTGATGGACAGTCTTCCCTCATGATGCACATGGCCCTCTTCTTCCTCCTCTCATTTCTGCATCTCCAGAGCAGAGATAACAGTACTCTCTTACTTCCTGAGGATATTGTGATGGATGCTCATAATAATGTCCCTCATTGTCCTGCGTCCAGGATGATTTCTCTCTCATCTCATATTCAGCCGTTTGTCTTCAAGTTCATTACTCTTCTAAATGTACCTATTCAGTTAAAGCCATGAATGAACCAGCCTATCTATATATATGCATGTGTGTGTGTGTGTATACCTGCTTTTAAGCACAGATCTGCAGCAAGCTGTCGGCAAACAATATTAACTTGTGCTCAAGTATGATTTGCTACCTTGAAACTCTTGGGGTGTGAAGATGGAGCCACAGAAACATGACCTGTCATGGACAGCATGGTCTTTAAGCGGGAAACTTCTTTAAAGAAAAAATACACATAAATCAAAAATGTCACTATAATATTAGATGTGATGGAGCTGCCCAATGACTGGGGATAACTTTGGGGTTGGAAGAAGAAAGTCTTCACCCTGCCTGTACCATAACCTTTGGTGTGCTGTCATAACCCTTGGTGTGCTGTCATTCTGAAACTAGCTGTCATTCTAAAAGTGTCATTGTAAAACTAGCAACATTTTAGAGGATCCTTACCACTTACTCTGGCTATTGAAAGTTAGAAGGAGTATTTCACTTTGAGCTTTTTCTTTGGGTAAAAGGAAGACTTTGCAGCTCACGCACTGTTTTTTGAAGAAGACAGCAGCGTATGTATTTAGTCCTTCACAAAAGTATTGCCGAAACGTACCGACATTTACAGAGTAAATGTAGCATGTAACCTGGAATGGGAAGTAGGCAGAGGCAAGCTGGCGCTAAAGGTTTAGTAACAGTTGAAGTCCAGAGTATTCCTCTTGTGCTCCTGATCAAAACCCATGCAAGTCTGGCCCTTTGCTAATGATTTAAAAAAAAAAAGATTGCACAAAATGCTGTGTTACCATGAAGTGCTCCTGCTTTTTATTCTATTTGACTTGTGGATATTGTAACTAACCATACAACTTGTTGAAGTGCTGGCTTTCATGTTTCTTCTGTAACTACAACAATGCCTTTAGTTTGCATAATATGGTCTACAGGTCTGACCTTGCTTTTCTGTGCTGTAACAAGCTGGAGGCTCTACAGTTAGTAGAATATGTCCAAAGAGTTAATGTTAACTGGTTTTAAATTTATTTAATTTTTCCTCTGTTACTAAGAATTATTAATGGTGTTATTTTTTTTCTTCCTAGAAGTGGAAAGCTAAATAACCATTTAGAAGCTGCTATACATGAGGCCATGAGTGAACTAGACAAAATGTCTGGAAATGTAAGTTTCTTTTCATGTTAGCAATAACCTCCTTTTTCTATGTTTCTGCATGTGAAGACTGAGAGTGTTGATTTGGATTGCTTTCTAACATAAATTTTGTTTCTATTTTCTTAAATAACATGGAAGTTTCAATATTTCTCCTGCATTAGAACTGTTTGCAAGTATCTAACCATTCTGAAAAAAATGGGGAAAATTGTAGGATTTTGGTTGCATTGCCAGTTACATTATTTTTCACGAAGAGATTCCTGGGCATGCTTTTACACATGCAGCCTGATAATATTTGGCTTAGTTCCAGTCCTGCTCATATTCCAGGGGTTTTTTTTGACTAGTGACACAGAATCAAGCTCATTTGTTTTCTGTTTGAGTAGCAAGATACTGAAACCGCATTTAAAAGCATCATTCTTTTGAATGTAAAACTCTTTGAATAAAGTTTTCCTCATGTGAAATGAAAGATACCATCAGGAAAGGTAAGTTAAAAAAAACAAAAAGAGTATTCCTAATATCAAAACTAACAGTGTTTTTTTCTACAATAATTACACTGTTATTTGTAAGCCCCAAATCTTTCTAATATAAAATGTGCTTCATGTAATGTACTCGTCTTCATACTTAAAACATGACTGCAATTTTATTGAAGCACACTTAATGCAAATGCAGAAGTCTTATCACAGCACATGAAACCTCCCATATCTTACAATAGCAATTTCTCAAATTATTTATTATAAGACATTTGAATACAGAAATGCCTTTTTCTTGATACTCAGTGCTCAGTACTGAAGATGCTTGTATATGTGCATATTTAGAAGTTGTAGTAAAACTACAGGGGAGCTTCTGGAGTGTATAAAAGGAAATGTATACAGAACTGGAGGCTTAGAGCTGATTTCAGAACCACCAAGAAATACTAAATAAGTTATGCAGTAGCTTTTAATGGCTGCTCTAAGTAATAACAAAACCAATCTTTTGTTAAAACTTCTGAGTTTTACAAAATGAGGTTAAGTTTTGATTTAAAACTATGTGCCTTTTCCTCCTGTCTTTGGAAGGAACAGGAAAGCAGTATCTTAATTGTAGGTCTGTTACAAATAAATGTGGGGTATGTGTTTGGCACACACATCTCCTGTGGCAGTTACACCACCACTGACGTGTTTGGACTGGAACATTCTGCTACCTTTTCTTTTTCATTTATAAAGCCAGTGATGCTACGAACTGTATGGTATATGCATTTTAACTGTGATATAACTGGCTCAGGGGAAACTGCTGTAATTGGATTTGCTCATCTGGTTGTTTCGTAATACAGACAAGCTGATGTACCAGCCTGAGTGTCATTACCTAGTCTTGATTTATATTTAAATTATCTGGTCACAAATTTTGTGACCAGAGTTTATTTCCATTAAGACTATGCTTCCTGGAAGCACTCCTGGAGAATCAGTGGTTCTCTTTTTAGTGGCTTGCATTTTTTTCAACTACTACTGTTCAGATACCAGTTACATTTTAAATGAAAAGCAGGTGCAAACAAGATCATCAGCTCAAAGAATTATTTCTACTTGTAAGAGCCAGTAAATACGTAGTAAATGTTAGTGGCCTGAAGGAATTCAGGACGGACCCAGGGAAATAATATAGCGCCTTTTTGAGGGATTTGCTGCTGTTGCTTGCCTGCTGTTGGAAAGCTGCAGACTGCTCTTCCCAGAACAGCAGCTGGCTTCCACCGACAGATGGTGGTGGTATTCCACACTCAGCGCCTTCCTCCACGGCCCTTCTTCCAATTAAGTTGTGATTTTTACTGAGCAGACAGTGATGAAAAACTGTTTCATGCTCAAACTAATCTAGCATTTAGCTTGAAACTGAGTATTTCCTTTTAAAACTTAAATGAAGACAGTTTGCTAAACATAGCTAGTTCCATGATAATGCTACCACAGACCTGAATTTCACTCCTCTTATTTTTTCATTAGCAATATTTTCTCAACACCTGCTTCCTACTCTACTGCTCTTGTCACGAATCTGTATAAAGGTTTTTCTCCAAGAATTTGACATAATTTCAGTTTTGGGTTCAGTTCCCACTTATGCACTTTCACAATTACTGTAGCTGGTACCTTTCTCCAAGGTAACCTAGGTTCGAGGCACACAGGTTGCAGCATCAACCTTTTTCTCCCCAGTGCCTTAAAGTTCTTGCAGTTCCCTCTAATTCGGGCTTCCATGTATACCTGAAGTAATAAGAACTTCCGTTAACAACACCTCAAGCAATCCTGTAGCTCATTTATTACTGGCTGGTTACTCTGACCAATATTCTTTGCTAACTTCTAAATATACTTATTTTTAGGTCCACCAAATCCCACAGGGAGACAGACAAGTGAAGCCTCCAAAACCCAAGAGGAGGAAGATCTCTAGATAACATTGAATGTCTTTGTTACTGGTCCAGTACTTATCAAAATGAACATGCACATAGGTCTATATGTAGGTATTGATATAGACATGGTTATATCAATATTTATATGAAGACAGATAGATACCATCACAGGGTGCTACGTGGATTAGTGGTACAATATTTTTGATGATTAGGAGGGATAGTGGTTGCTGGATAAGCCAATCAGAAATCTTGAAAGGTTGCAGTAACAATGTCAGATGATTACTGAAATTTTTTTTTCTATAATACTAAAATTGTGATTATAAGGAATAGTCCAAATGTTTCTGAGAAATTTTCATTGTGTATATAGATAATACAGAATTTCATGGTGATATCTGAAATGTAAATATTGTACAATATTGTCATGTACAAGCGTACCTAATGCACACTTTATCTTTTATTGTACAAAAAATAGTGTACAAAATTCTTTGGTTTCTATTGAGTACACATACAAGAGACTACCAGTGTAAAGTGATAAATAAAAATACAGCCTAAATGCTTTTATATGATAATGTAAAAGATGCTGTTTTTGTATTTAACAGCAGAGAGAAGGCATGATTATGTAATACCTTAATTATGACATACACTTCACGCCACTGAGTGTTCATTGATACTGTCTGTTTGGAATGAACCTTGCCTGGAAGTACTGTACTCCATTTCAGGTCTCTGTAGGAGAGTGCAAACTTGCAGATTCCTAACGGGATGTGGGATCACAGCTCTAATTAATAATTCAAAGGCTGCAACTGTCGGTTGCGTTTTTATTTACATAGCTTTTAAAGTAGAATGCTGTAGATTTTATTAAAAAGAGAAAAAAGTAGATGGACTATTTTAGTCAACCATTTCTGTAGTTAAAGTTTCATAGCCACCTGAGAAACTAAACAGTTTATATCCCCCATAATGTTGACCCCTCAAAACCCCTAGATTTATTAGCTTAAATTATCTAACGTCATTAACCATCGTGTTTACTTCTAAGGGGGCAGAGGCCCTGCATTAATAATGTGATCAGCATTGATTACGGTTTGGTTTTGCAGTAGAATGAAAGGGCATGGTCCGCAGCATTCGTAAAAGTAACTCCAGAACCCATCTCACAGTATTAAAACAAAAAAAAAACCTAAGGGTGGCTTACAAAACTATTAGCAACAGTAATTTTTATCAGTATTATGTAACATATCAGATTTATTTTATTTAAAAAGAATTATTTATACCATTAACAGATTCTTATATATATTAATGTGGCTGAAATGTGCAGGTTAAATCTATTAACCAAATTATTTATGTTATATTAAGTGAGAAATGTGAAACATATGTAGAAAAAATTAATACACTACAGATTTAAAAGTCTAAAGCTATGAGCCATTATAAAATTAACAAACGGAAGTGTAGCACAACATTATTTCCATTTTATTTCATTTTCTTTTTAACACGGGTGGTGGTGATGGTGATGGAAGCAATGACATCCTCTGGTTTCAAGGCTTCCTGAAATAAGCTCAGTTCACCATTCCCAGTCCTGGAGTGGCATGCATAACCCCCACCTCTTCGTCCAGGGCCACCACTTACCTCAGATTTCCTTTTTTCCCCTTTCCCCGAATTCCCAAATCTCACTCTCTAGCTAAGGACTGGCAGGGATCAGCATCCTGGGAAGCTGGCAGTATCGCCACTCTCCAGACACCCAGCACTCGGCGCCAGGATCACAAGTCATTGCTCCTCTTCCCATCTACCTTGCCCAAGTCCCAGACTCCTCTCTCTGAAGGACATGACCGAGACCAGCCGTCCCTGAGGACGACGGGACCCGGCGGTGTTCCCAGCCTCGGCCCTCGTGTGCCAGGGCACGCAGCACTACCTCTGGGCTCACTCCTGGGCTTTCTCATGTCTGGCAGAACAGCTCCCACTCCTCCTTCCCCCCAGCCCAAGGGATCGCAATAGCTGCACTGGCTACAGGGGCCTGGAGGCAGGAGCCCTTCCTTCCATGGGGTAGGTTCATTTGTCTTTTCTGTAACGCCACCGTCCTCCATGCAAGCTCATGTGAAGTGATTGATTTTCTTTATTGTTTTTCTCAACTTCTGTCTTTTGGGGGTGTAGTTTAGCTCACGTTTTTCTGTCCCACGTTGACGTGTTCATTCAAACAGTTGCCGTTGGCCATTGTCCACGCCAGCCACTTTCCCGCTGTCTCTGCACACCCGCGTGGGTTTTAACTCATCACTACATGCGTGCGTGTGTGCGTGTGCGTGTGCGAGCGCCTGTCTCGATTTAGGTTCTTCATCCCTTTGCTTTCTGTCCTAGAACCGAGTTTGTATTGACCGACCCCTTCTTTTGGCGTTTTAACTAATTAGGTTTGTACTTCCTCACCAATGTATACTTTACATCAGTAGACCATGTAAAGTATTTTTGTGCACTTGATTTCATTGGTTAATAATGGCATTGATGTGGGTGCTAGGAGTAGCTTGTTTCAGTCCATACCAATTTTTTTTCTCTTTTAGAGTTTTTATGGTTTCATGTAAGCAGTTAATGTAAATATTGTGAGCATTACAGGTCATGCAGTGTTGTAACATTTTAAAAAATGTTGCACCTACTTTTATGATTAAAAAACTGGTCACTCATACTTGAATTTTGCCCATAGAGCCATTTCTTTCTCTTTGCATTGAAGCATAATATACTTTTTTGATGGAGGCCCAACCCTTCTTTCTATCTTATTATTTTTTGTTTAATAAATCTATATTTTTTCTAATAGAAGACTTAAAAATGAAAATTTAAAAAGTACTTTTTGCCTACTTTCTAATTTAAGAGAGAATTCCTATATTTAAAAGGTGAAAAAAAAAAAAATACTCCATTGTGGAAAGTGGAACAACAGTTTATATGTCATTAATATGGCACAATCACACGAAACTGAACTGGCTGAGTGAAGTGAGCCCACGATGTCAAGCAGTATCTCAGTAGATTAGGGAACGACGTGATTCTTTGAGAATGTAAAGTGTTACATATTCTTGTCTATTTATTTATTTATTTATTATGCTTTCTTTTGCTAAGTGGGTGACAATGTGGTTGAGTCATTCAGATGACATTCAAATTAAAGGAAATATTCCTCTTTCTATTATGGTGCATTTTGTAAACACCATAAAAAAATATTTTCATTTATTTCAATGGATTTTCTTCATATTTTCACTTCTGACAGAAGATGTTTGGCTGGTATCAGCTGCAAAAATAATATCCACATAGTTTAAAAAGAAAAACTTGCAAAAATCAAAAAAAAAAACCCAACCCACCTCTGATGTCCCAGGTCTGTTATCCTCACAGTCGGAGGGTTTAGGGGTTAAAAAGAGCATAAATTTAAAGGTATTTCCTAAATCAGCTCTGCAGAAGGTGTCTAAGTAATGTGATATCCTTTTGGAGTCCCTGAGTTTGATGGTATAGAGATATTAGAGGGCTCGTGGTGGACTGAATTACCTTAGGACTGCTACCTTTCTTAGCTACAGTTTGTATTTTGCTATGTAGGGTTGTAATGTGAGAATTCCAGAAGAGCCGTAGCATAAAAGTGCTTTTCTATTTTTTAAAAAAAAACCCATTCTAGTCTTACTAAGAATTAGAGATTTTTTTAATATCAGTTTTGTAATTTTTGATAAAGTTGTCAATATTATGATTAAATCACCAGAAAAAAAAGTTACTGTGATGTTCTCTTCGGGGCAGGGCCTATGTCTTCCTGTGTATTTGTAAGATGCCACAATGGGATGCCCAGTCTTAAATGGGGCCATGGGCACCGCTATCAAATTAAGTAGCAACCAACAACGCTGAGGTTGATTTAAATGCATAAAAGCCAAGAGAATTTACAGATAAGACTGCAAATCCTTAGTTTGCCTGCTGTGTCCTCTGGGAAGGCAGTACCATCGGCTGAGACATCCGAAGGGTAAGTTGGGGAAGCCAGTGGCTGTCGAAGCTTTTGCTCATGCAACCCAGGACCTTCTCATCCAAGTCAAAACAGACCCACTCCAGCAACACGGCCCTTGGTCCTCTCCCTCTCTCTGCTGCTTTTACCAGTATTAACTGAGAAACTTCATGTTTCAGGATTCACCCAAAATACCCAGTGGTTTAAGCACATTACTGATCTACAAAATACGAAACACAGAAACAGATCATTTGGTTCACAATCCAGTGCAAGCACAGTTCACGCTGGTGTCGAATCAACTCTAGAAAAACACTTGGAGGCTTTAAAAAACAAAAAAATCCTACCAAAAATGAATTTGTGTGCCTCCAGATCATGAGCTCGGGGGCTTCCTGGGGCCCCTGTGAGCCCACACTCCACCATGCCAAGCATCTCTGCCCCACTGCTGCCTCTCTCAGTCTGGTTTTTGTACCCTTGTGCTACCAGGGACGAGAGGCTCACTGTAAAAGATAAGCACACGCGCACCTGTCTCCTACAGTGTTGCTCAAATGCAGCAGTTACAGCAAGGGCTGATGTTCTGTCACTGCAGTAACACTACCCAAGCGTATATACCCCAAGAAGTCCCACCAGCCTCTTGGCGACCCTGTGTTGGAAGCCGTTATTTCAAGTAGAATGGTAATACATTCTATTTATTTTGCATTTGAAAGCTGAGCAGTGGGAAGTCAGGCCTCCATAGCTCATTTCTTTGCCAGCTTCTGCAATTTGTTGTTGATTAAGGAAAAAAAAAAAAGTAAAAATAATGAGGGATTTGAAATATTCCCCTCAAAAGCACATTCTGGAGAGATTTAATCTCTCACATTTTTACCTGCTGCAAGAGAAGTGCTCGTAATTGAGTGCCATCCCAGCCGAAGATAAGAGGTTAGGATTTAGAGCAGAAATACATAGATACGTATACATAACTTTCTGGAGCTGCGTGTTTTGGAAAACATGGGGGAAATGGGAAGGGTTTTGATGTGCTTACCCAGGACAAAGCAGAGCGGAGAGGCAGAGTGAGAGCATCCCCATGCATTCCTGTGTACAAACCCCGAGAAAGCATTGGCACAGGTCACCACAAGTCAAAGAGAATGACCACACACTCACAGCATCTGCTGGCATTTCAGGCTGACTGGCAGTAATCAATACCAACGAGTGAGCAAAGTGAGCCTGAGCCACCACTTGAGCCTGGCTTTGAGCAGTGCTAAACCAGGTACGGTTTGGGATGGGAGAACAAAGGCTGTTACAAGCATGTCTACATCCAGGTCCAGTGGCACAGAACATTCGCAGGTGAGTCCCGTGGGTGTTAATGATTTCACTTTGCTAATGATGTTAATACCTATTAACTGTTACTTAAACCCAGTGATGGTGAGAGACTGTAGAGATGAGGAAGAATAAGCATTCTTGCCCTGTGGAAATGTCAAGGTACCAAAATAAAGGCTGCAATGCAAAAAAAGAAAAAAAGCAAATAAAACCTAAGATATCTTGAGGTCCTTTCCCACCCTAACCATTATGGTTCTATGATTCTATATAATAGGTAAAATGTACTTAGAGCATGTGAACTCTGAACATCAGCAGCGGGGAATTGCAGAGTCTG